GCCACAGTCTCTCTCCCAAAGAGGGGGCACAGGTATTCAAGCATGAAGCCTGAGCTTGTGCAAGGCTACTCACACTCAAACAAACACAACTGCAGTGAGTCCCAAAGGTAGTTCAAAATAATACTTTCATCTGTAGCATTTACCTACAGCCTGGATGTGAGGGGATTCTTTTCTTAAAATCAGGTGTGTTCATACACCTTCCACCCGCAGAAATACAGCCTTTTGGAAACAAATGCATCACAGCTCACTAAGTCAAGAGAAATCCATTCCAGTTTTAGAAATTCAATTTAGCTTGGGTAAGCCTCCAGGCTCTGCAAGTAAGCCCCATCATGAGGTTTATTATTCATAAATCTCTTTTTCAGGTTGGAAGGCTCCCAGCAGCCACTCTCTTTCCAGTATTTTTCTGCTTTTGTATGTCAATAAAAAAAAAATTAACTCTTGGAGTCTCTCTGGACAACCAATATCAAGGGATGGATCAAGAAATCCAGCAATGTTAGAGTTTCCCCCAGAAATCTTTTGGTTGTGTTCAAATTACTAATTTGTGGTGAATAATCTAGATTCAGATGGTTGTGGCTGTATGTGCAAACATGTTTGAATTTAATTTACCCATTTATATGAGACAAAAAGATTTATAATGGAAGCTATGAGCTATTGTTTCTTTCAACTAGAAAGTTATTTCCAAAAACAAATGAAATCTGTGGCCTAACTAATCAAATGATGAAGGCACTTTGCTCACATAGGAATGAAAAATCTCTGAACCTCCAAGCCCTGAAACATTTATTTTCTACATTTAAAAAAAATCGTAACCCTAATATTTCTGAACAACCTGTCTTCCTACTGCGGATGATAGCACAAAATCTAGTTCTAGCAGAAACATTGGATTTGAGTGTGTGTACTGAGGCTAACATCCTGGGAAAATGAGGAGGATTTTGAAACATTCTGGAGAGTATGCGGTAGGTCATATTTCACATCAGAAATACCGTGATGACAACAACAACTAAAATAAATACTGAATTTATGAGAAATTTGGTTCCCAGCAAATGGTGCTCTCAAGATAATATTCCATGTAATGAAATGGCAGGAAAGCCCAGTAATCCAAATACCTTCTGAAGTTTTAATGTACCTAACTTGGGTCTTTTGTGATCCAAATAATTTCAAGGCACCCATAGTTCACTCCCACAGTCTTTATTGCTTTATGTGTTAAATGGAGACCTCAACTAAATTTACAATATGTGGATTAAGAACACCCTGACTTGTATGGACAATTAATACAATTGAGAATGTTCCTTTTATTATTAAGTGTTACTATCCAAATCTCATAACATTTTGATGGTTTTTTAAATACTTCATATTTCAATTCCCAAGGGTCCTTGCTCCTTCAAGACATGTAGACAGCTTCATTTGATATTAATGGGAAATATACATTAACATAATAGATCTCCCTAGATACCTGTAATGACAGAATAAAACCATTTGAATTTCAATGGAATGTAATACTAGGTTAAAACAGAAATTCCAAGATGATCTTCTCATATCAGGAATTTAAGAAAAAAAAATTAAGTAACTTCAATTCTTTAGGAAAAGGTTTTTTAGATTACTTCTAGAAGTTTTTACCCTCATCTTTCTTGGGCTGTTCCGGTTTTTGTCTTTGCTCTTTTTTAGAGGCAAAAGCACAGACTTTATATTATAATAAAGTATCATGAACAAATATCATATATAGGCAGTTTTAGCTGAAATTAAACTATAGCATGTTAATAATAATTTACATTTATACATTGCCATTATCTGGTAATTGTAAAACAATCTCAAATTCCCTTTTCTACCCAAAAAGGACTATCATTTAATATCTAGAATTATCTAATGAAAAGCCTTATTCATAGCATCAGGAATATTTCTATTTAATTAATTTTTATACCTCCATTAAAAAACTCACTCAGTTTCCACTGGTGTGGACCAGTTTTCAGCTAAAAGAAATTCCATGTCTTCGAATGACAGAAAGTAGCATCACCTATAGTAGCCAGCAATTCCCTTTGGTGCAAAGCACTGAGCATGTCAGCGTGCTTTGACGAACCAATAGGATAGCAACGTAAAGCCAAGGGGCAGAGACATCGAACACATAAGACCTAGTCCTGGCTTCGTCACCATGTGCCTGGTCTTCAGGCTCCTCAAGGCATGACATGAGACACGCTGAGCAGTAGTTCCCGAAGTGTGAACCAGGTACCCTCGGGGGTGCCTAAATCCTTGAAGGGAGCCCGAAAGATCAAAAACATTTTTGGTCTTATAAAAGACACTATTATTATCAAAGGTAAGAGTTTGATCTTAAAGGATATTATTTGCTTTCTTAAATCCCGTACTCTCCCAAGTGAACAGAGGAATTTTCCGTAGGCTATACATCATGTGATATAACAGGTTGAATGCAGAAGCCAGTATGGAAATCCAGCTGTCCTCTGTCAAGCCAGACTTTAAAGAGTGTTGCAGAAATGTAAAATTGCCACTTTTTACTAAATATCCTTTTCCATTTTGGAAAATATAATGACTTTTCATTTTTTAAAATGTTACTTACATTAACATGTAATAGGTTTATTATTTTATTTTTAATAAATTAATAAGAAAACCATTGAAAACTGTCTCCATTTTAATTTCTAACATAGGAGACAGTGTATGGCGGATATACCTGATATCAATAGCGTAACTTAAGCATACCATGAGAACGACCCTATGGTCTAAGAAGAAAGTGTGCTTAGAGTTGAGTTCTGAGCTAAGGAATCTGGGAATGGCCAATCTAGAGATTCATTCCTATCTGTGAGGAACATCTGAATACCCAGCCCATCCCATGGGATGCAGGCCATACAGGGAATTGGGGACCTTTGTTTTGGAATGAATGTAGATTGCCAAGTAGAAGTTGCTAGAGGGAGGGTGCTAAGTGAAAATGTTGTGTAAACTGCAAGCTTGTTACACGCAGTTGTGGTTCTTTTATCCAGCCCCCCACCACTGGACTGCCGTATAAGGTAACTCCCCTCAATAAATCCTATGTCTTGTTCACTGGCTCCAGGTCTTTTCTTCAGTGCCATCTATATTGGAGTCAGTAGGGTTTCAGCATGACAAACATCAATAGATATCACCAACATAAACAAAAGTTCTTTGGGGTCCTCAAGAATTCTTTAAAATGGAAAGAAGTTGTAAGAACAAAAATGTTGGCTGGGTGTGGTGGCTTACACCTGTAATCCCAGGACTTGGGAGGCCAAGGCAGGTGGATCAGCTGAGTTCAGGAGTTTGAGACCAGCCTGGCCAACATGGTGAAACCCTGTCTCTATTAAAAATACAAAAATTAGCCAGGCGTGGTGGTGGGTGCCTGTAATTCCAGCTACTCAGGAGGCTGAGGCAGAATAATCACTTGAACCCAGGAGGCAGAGGTTGCAGTGAGCCGAGATCATCCCATTGCACTCCAGCCCGGGCGACAAGAGCGAAACTCCATCTCAAAAAAGAGAATCACTACAATAGAGGATCTCTGAGAAGTCTTTTGACTGTAAAACTCTGTAACTCTAAGGTTGTGAGGTTCAGTGGAAAGGAACTTGCATGAACAGATGGCTATGAATGTATGAACTGGGAAAATCAGTGGAGGCTCACAGCGCCCTATGCTCCCCTATGGCAGGCAGTGGGTCCTTCCTCATATAGGCAACTACATTATTGCTCCTCCCTTTTAAGCCTCATCCTTTGCTCCCTCCTCTGCTTCCTGCCTTCCTTGCCAGGACCCCACACACCTACCCCAACTCACACACAGGAGACAGGGAAAGCCCTGGGCAGCAAAGGAAGAGCCATCAGCCTCATGGAAAACCTTGTTTCCTTCCTCTCCCAGCCCCCTCGCTCCAATTAGGACATTGTGGAGTCCCCACCTCTCTACTTACTGATATGATGACCCCTTTACCCAGGGAACACTGCACTCACCCTGCCCAACAGGACTGCCCTAAATGGGTGGCCACGTTGGCAGCCTGCAGACGCAGAGCAACATTCTTGTACTTGAGTCTTGCTCAGCTCAGACCCACCACAGAGACTCCAAAGGGGTTGTCAGGCCCCAGGGAATTTTAACAGGTGGTATTTGAGATTGGCATTATCCACAATCTGATTGGTGGACACCAGCATCGATTTCACCCAGTTGGAAGCAAGAGTCATTTTCCGTAAAAGGAGAGTTCCTCTTGAGTTAACAGAAAGGAAGAACACCCAGAGTCTCACCTCACCGGAACTATGCTGTGGCCCTTGGTGCATACCACTGGGTATTTTTTATCATTATGCTTGTTCTTATGTCAATTGCTAAAGTTAGGGACCTGGGGTTCCAACTGGCTCTATTTCCTTCAGGATCCATGGACTTTCCATTTCTAGCTAAATCTCACCCCAACGCCAAGCGTCCGTTTCCTGATCCATAAAAATATGATGATCATTCCCACAGTTTAGGACCATGGTTGAGACGGGCCCATGGAGAGGCAGGATGCAATGTTCCTGTCACCGCTATCATTTTTATTTGTTGGTGAATCGCTGCAGTGACATTCACTGACTCAGCAGCTTCCAGTGGACCAGCACCGCATTCTGTGTGCTCCAGAGGGCTGAAGCAACTTTTAAAACATAATTTCAGAAGTTGTGTACTTCACAGTTTTCAAATCACTTATCTCATTTGATCTCATTTTATCCTCACAACAACTTGGAATGATTCTCACCCACCCTAATGAAGAAAGCACAGAACTATATTTGCATTGTAATTACCACGTTGCCCAAAATGGGAGTCCTCCGATGGGAGGGAAACTTCTTATCACGGCATTTAGCTAGCTCAGTTGTCTTCGTAAAACCAGACCTCAGTGCTCACTGTGAATTGCTAAAATCCACTGTCAGCTGAAGCACAGACACATATAGTAAGCTGATTGGGATGGGATGCATGATCCACACCTGCTGCGTACCCAGGGCTACAGATGGCAAAAGAGAAAGAACTTGGACTATTCATGTCCTCTTACCATTTTCACCAGATGTCTTGTCTTTTCCATTGGTTGCCCCAGCACCTTGTCGCTAAAGGCAAAAAAGAAAAGAAAAAAGAAATTGTTATCAGATATACTTGGGATTACTTTTGTCTCTTTTATAGTTCCAAACGTCTCTTGCATTATACCAAGTTCTGTGTTACTTTAGCTCAGATGGCTAAAGCACGGTGCTAGTGAGACCAGGAATGGATCCACCAAGCAAGGATGTACTGAAGCTGTACAGACCAACCCCCTCATCCACATCCACTGCTCTAGGAATGCAGGTCACCAGTAACAAGAGAAACCAGGAGGGAGATCAAGCATAACTTCACTGAAAATATGAAGGCAACAGCCAATGTTCTGTATCAGCTACAAGATCAGCATTATTACTTTTGTTAATATCGGTCATTAGGCTGCTGTATTTTCATTCCAGTCACCATGTCCAATGTCTTTTTTTTTTTTTTTTTTTCAATGAAACGGAGTCTCGCTCTGTCACCCAGGAGATCTAGAGTGCAGTGGTGTGAGATCTCGGCTCACTGCAACCTCCACCTCCCGGATTCACACCATTCTCCTCCCTCGGCCTCCCGAGTAGCTGGGACTACAGGCGCCCACCACCACACCTGGCTAATTTTTTGTGTTTTTAATAGAGACAGGGTTTCACTGTGTTAGCCAGGATGGTCTCGATCTCCTGACGTCATAATCCACCCACCTCAGCCTCCCAAAGTGCTGGGATTACAGGCGTGAGCCACTGAGCCCGGCCCAATGTCTTCTTTTTAAATAAATTTTAATCAACTAAGAAACTCTTATATTTCCTCCTACTTAAAAACTATTTTTTCTGCCATTGCTTATGCCTATCTTGTGCATTTTCATTTTACCAGGTTAACTACACGTATGAAGTCTTTTAAGGCTAGACTTAACTCTTTGTGCAAGATTCTCTGGGTGTGAAGTCTGGGGAGCCGTGTGAAATGCACCACACATGTAAACAGAAAGGGTGTTTCCTCAAAGCTTAACGTGATTCTAGTTGATGGAGAGAGAAGCATTTTGTCAATCTCATTTTTTGGTTGTTATCAAAAAGTATGCTTTGAGTTGGAAAGGACTGAAAAGCTTATAAAGTATCTAACTTTTTTTTTTTTTTTTTTTTTTTTTCTGAGACGGAGTTTCACTCTGTCCCAGGCTGGAGTGCAGCAGCTGGATCTCAGCTCACTGAAACCTCTACCTCCCAGGTTCAAGCGATTCTCCTACCTCGGCCTACAGAGTAGCTAGGATTACAGGCATATGCCACCACACCCAGCTAATTTTTGTATTTTTAGTAGAGACAGGGTTTCACTGTGTTGGCCAGGCTGGTCTCAGACTCCTGACCCCGTGATCCACCCGCCTCAGCCTCCGAAAGTGCTGGGATTACAGGGGTGAGCCACTGTGCCTGGCCAAGTCTCTAACTTTCAGGGGAAGAAAATGAGGGAGGTAGAAGGAGCATGACTTGCCCTAGATCATGCAGCTAATGAGTGACAGAGTAAAGACTGGACCCTGGACTTCCTTGCCCTCAGGAATTGCTACTGTGACACCACTATCTGAATGGGATCCTAGAAAAAAACAGCAGAGCACTGAACAAGGGGAAAACCATGATGGGTGACTAAGGGATAAGGTACCCTCAAAATTCATATTTGGGTCCAGGTCTTTAGCCTAAAAACAGTATCAGAAAAGTAACAATCAGTTCCCTTTGGCATTCAACATTGTCATAAGAAATTCTCAGGTCATTTGTCAACCCTTAATTAATGGTAAATGGATCATCTGGGAAAACCTTGCTTTCAGAGTCTGAGAAGTATAAATAGAATAAATGATCAAGATTTATATTAATAAAGTAAACCATCCTCACATATGCTTATTGCAGACGATAATCCCATAAAGAAGCAAAGTAAAGCTTCCCACTTATTACCAACACTGTTCACCCTCCATCTGAGTCAATGTGAAATGATTTAAATCAGGAAGACCATTTCTTAAATATAGTAGATTTGCAAGTGAAAATGCCTGCTTCTTTTTGTCTGTCCTTATGTTGATGCCTCCTCTTTTTAAACACAAGGCTCGTACGTTTGCTGCACTGGGTGGAAATCTGAGTACTATTGAGTTGGACCAAATCCGAGATGCAACAGCAGCCTCAGGTGATTAAACTCTGGCATTCAAATCCAGTATCTTTCCCTGCATAATTCATAGATGGCTCAAATAAAAGAAAATTTCATGGAATAAAAGAACAGTGTTTTAGAGTAGAATAAAGTCAAATTAAATGGAAGGCAAGTGCAAAATAGGTGCATGCTCAACCCCACTGTCTTTAAATGCCTTAAACATGGATGCTTTTCAAATGTCATGAATAACTTGTTCCATAAAAGATCACTTTTTAGAAACCAGAAGAAAACCGAAATGAAATGTGCACAGGGGAGAAAAGGAGTCATTTTTTCGGGATTTCTAAGATGGGGTTTTTTATGTCAGGTTGTATTTAATGGAGACACAATGAAGGTGATTTATGTCATAGGAGACAGTGTCTCGCATCAAAAAATGATCCTGACAAAAAAGAACTTGTTATTGAAAGTATCTCATTTCAGAATTCTTTGAGACCTTTTGACATTTTCAATGGAGGTCTTAGGGCAGAGGAGGAATTCTCCAAGAGCTACCCTATTCCCAGGGTCTGGTCTTTACAATGCCAGGCAGTCGCAGTTTCACTGAACTTATAGTGGAGAGAGTCTTCGCCAGGCTGGGTGTTGGGTAATCACGGCTCATGCTGCTGGGGCCAGGCTTCAAGGGTGCTCAAGCATCATCAACTTATTGAGTTCTGACAGCATCCCTGATGGGGTAGATGCCCTTAGTGTCCTCATCAGACTCACTTTACCAATTACATCCTGAGGTACAGAGAGGAATTTGCTCAAGCCCACAAAGTGGGGAAGAGGCAGAGGCAGAATTCAGCCCCCAAGAAGCTGGCTCTGGAACCTTCCTTTTAGCCACTGTACTTAAGCATCTCTCAGTACTGTGTGCAGCATCTCTCCTGAGGGCCTCTGTCAGCAGGTGGGGAGTTAGGAGGCAGTGAGATTTGAGTTTGAAGGTAAATGTGACTTCATTTACACCACAGGCTGGAGTTTTGAGAACTCTTGGCTTTTAGGAATAGGCAGAGTCAAACAGCAGCCAAGCGTTCAATTCCAGAAATGCTATCAGATCTTTATTAATGTTTAAATAATATAAGCACCCAGAGCTAGGCTCTACTAAAATAAATAGCAGATGGATGTGTGGATGGATAGATGAATGGATGAGTAGTTGAAAGAATGAATGGATGGGTAGATGAATGGATAGGTGGATGAATGGGTGGATGGGTGGGTGGATGGATGGATGGATGGATGGATGGGTGGATAGATGGATGGATGGATAGATGAATAGATGAGTAGATAAATGGGTGGATGGATGGATAGATGGGTGGATGGTCAAAAGAACATATAGATGGAGGTAGGTCATTCTCTAAGCAACCACTAGGGAAAAGATTCTTTTTCATGAGGTGATAGAAGTTAGCATCTTCGGGAAGAGGCTGCCTTTTCTCTCCACCCCACTCTCATTCCCAAATAGGAGAAGATGTGATCTCTTATCTCTGTTCTAAATGAGCTCCAACTACAAGTTCATCATCCTAAGAACATATGTTGCCCACTGAACAGAAGTAGTCATAGTTCAAAAGCATCATTTATTATAATTGAACTAATAAATGAAATCAAGTATTCAAGAAACAGGGCACAATAAATTAGCTTCAGAGCAAACCCTGATATGAGATTCTGGAATCCTGAGCTCTTTCTTAGGAATTTCAGAAATGATCCAATGGTATCATGAATACCACCAATGTGTCATTCAGTTTACATATCAATATAACTTAATATGTTAGGATATGCAGAAGGCAGTACAAGTTCTCCTTAAACAAATATGCATAGCCACAATGACCAACTTAATGCAGGTGTAGAAAATATGCTATTGGAATTATCTAGAGAACTAAGCACTAGAGTATTTGAGAGCTCATGAATGTGGCATTCAGATATCTGCGAATTTGTCAGCAGATATTTTCTTCAATGTTTTCCAAGGGATCTAGAGAGTGAGTTAGTTATGACTGCTAAGAACAGCAGGGGTTGATACATGTGGGATTTCGCTTATCTTTTCTTCTGGGGAAGGGGTTAGTAGGGTGGTAGTAGAGGAAAAAGTCAGTATCAACTTCAGCCACAGCAAAACCAAATCCATTAGATTGTCTAATAATTCCACTCCCAGGAGAACGCTGCCATGAGTCTTGCAGTCTATATCACAATACTCAGCTCAGATGTTCTCATTCTTCTCCTGATCATCTCCAGCCCGACACCCACCCTAATGACTTCTCTTTCATAAAATGCTCCTCCACAACACCTTGTCCCCATGCAGACATGGCATCTTCCTGGATGCTCACGGAAGAGTCTAGAAGGACAGCCCCTTCCTCCTTCAACCACCTGAAATCAGCATCCCTGGTGCTCAAGTCAGCTCTGTGTCTATCCACATCATCAGGGACACTGGCCCTCCCTCTTTAAACATGTTAGAGCAATGTCCCACTGTTATCCCCAGAGACCTCCACAAAAGACAGGTGGCCCTCTGTGGGTCAGTGTATTCCACTCGGATTGACCTTCACGATCACAAGTAGTAACACCACTTGGCTCTTCCAAACAAAAGACACATTTCCCTCACAATGACTTCCTTCAATATTGTCCTTATTTCACCATTAGAACATGCTACATGCCCATCTAAGGCTCAACACAAGAATTCAAAATCACAGCCTGCATCCTCAGCCCTGTGCCAGGCAGGTGGTGTGTGTGCTGGGACTCTGAAGAGGAGTCATAGGAGGACCCAGGGAGGCAGGTGAGATGCTCTGGGTTCTTAAATACGTGGCAAGCAACTCACACAGCCTCAGAAAGCGAGGTTTCCATTCTTGGCAGTGTTCATGAATAAAAGTAGAACACTTCAGAATCTAATAAAACCCCAATTAAAGGGAACCTAAATAACAAATGGGTATAT